AGGGGGGAGAGAGGGGGAGAGAGGGGGGAGAGAGGGGGAGAAACGGGGAGAGAGGGGTAAAAGCTACATGTCTTTAAATAAGATGCAGATACTTCATGCATAAACTGGGTTAGGGTCACTTCTCCTCATCCTTTGACTTCGACTGCTTTAATGTTATAATAAATATCTATATGTATTAATGCCTTCCCCATGCAGCTGGACTGAAGCCCCGGTGGGGACACAGCGCGGTGTTTTCAGGTGAGTTTGATTTCTTACCGTTGTGGGGAAATAGCGGCTGAACTTGAACTTCTTGAGAGAGACGGTCATGGAGTACGTGCCGAAGAAGAGGATGAAGGACATCAGAGCCAGATCAGGGACGTACTTACAGGAGTTCCCCACCAACACACCGCCATACTTCACACACTCCTTCTTACTCAGCTGACTCCAGTCCATGTCCGTCATGTTGAACTGAGGAAGAGGAGGAGGGGGAGGAAGAGGTGGAGGGCCACTCTGAAACGTGCAGTTTTGCTTTATTGGGGGGGGTCTGGGGGGTCCGAAAACCAGTCAGTATTAACCCTAACCCTAACATGTCACCAATTGAGCATGTTTGGGATGCTCTGGATCGGCGTGTACGACAGCGTGTTCCAGTTCCTGCCAATATCCAGCAACGATGCGAAGGAGACGTGTTGCACTGCGTGAGGCAAATGGTGGTCACACCAGATACTGACTGGTTTTCGGACCCCCCCAGACCCCCCCCAATAAAGCAAAACTGCACGTTTCAGAGTGGCCTTTTATTGTGTCCAGCCTAAGGCACACCTGTGCAATAATCATGCTGTCTAATCAGCATCTTGATATGCCACACCTGTGAGGTGGGATGGATTATCTCGGCTCACTATCACAGATTTTTTCAGATTTGTGAACAATATTTGAGAGAAATGGTTATTTTGTGTAAATAGAAAATGTTTTACATCTTTGAGTTCATCTCATGAAAAACGGGAGCAAAAACAAAAGTGTTGCGTTTATATTTTTGTTCAGTGTAATAAGGACTCTAATAGTCTGCTTCATTGAGATGATGTGGATCGCTGATGTGATTCAGACTTAAAAACTAAACTAAAAAACAACCTGTTTTCTTTATGATATCTAAACTAGGGCTCTACGATATAGAAACAAAAACGTATTTTGACTAAAATTGCATTGCTATATTGTGCACGATATTTAGGTATTTATCATTTTTGCATTACTATTCTTATTATAATTAAAAAACATTGTCTTTTGTCGCTCACCAGCATCGTCATGTTGTCGTCAGCGAGCGGAG